GTGTAAAAGGTTCAAGTCGTATTAAATATGAACAAACAATCATTGCAGACGAGTAATGGGTTCCATAATGAAATGCCGGCGTTGTTGCATTCGCTGTAGGATCAAAAGAACGGTACCGTATTTGGAATTCCTCTATAAAAATATTAAAATTTGTAAATGATAATTAAAGTTAATATTGTGATCTAATTTTTTTTTTTAGTGAGATTTAAATTCATAATAACATATTCTATTTAATGTTAAACTGGTTAAATTCGGACTTACTTTTGCGTTCTTCAGTTTGTGCACCCATGGGTTTAGATAAGTCACGGAATGTTGCGGGATTAGTTAAATCCAGCTAACTCAAAAAATTATTGTAAAAATAAATAAGTCATATGTGAGATATTGTTTAGCGAACCTAAGTTGATAGTATACCTCCTCACTGGTGTAATCAGCCAAGATCCAAGGGAACACGGGATATTGGGTAAGATCTACATATATTATAGGTTTAATGAATGCTTTATTAATTTCATGAAGTAACATATATTCACTTACCATTATATGACCGACCAGCTAGAGTATTTAAGTGCATCAAGTATTGGAAATTCGAAATTTCCCTTTTTTCCCATCTTAGGGTCAATTCTGCCAACGATGAGTTTGAATTTGAAAAAAAGCTTAGATTGAATCTCAAACCAGTCGAAGGAATTGATAAGGGAGTAACAGGTGATAAGGTATCAAGGGCAGATGTGCCAATAACAGATTCGGCACCACTAATTGAGAAAGTAGCTCTTGCTACAAGTTTATTATAAGCAATATCTCGTTCTTTCAAGAAGAAAGTTATCAAATAATTGCGTCCATCAGCAAAGAATATTTCAAGAGCGACATCACTAAATAATATTCAGACCAGTTAACATTTTAAAACGTTATATAAATGATTAATCATAAAACGTAAGTGCTAGCCTACCGGAACAGAAATTTTCTTTTGTGGACTTCCTTTATGTCATCAAAAGCCCTTAATAAAGTGCAATGAAATAATGTTATGGAAAAATGTTGTTGAATAGGTTATCAAAAAATAAAAAAAATAAAAAAAATAAAAAGAAGTATATATATATATACATATAATAATAATAATAATAATAATAATAAGTACCATCGCCTGCTCTTATGTTTATTTTCCTTGGAAGGCGTATTATTATTTACATAGCCAGCATGAGAGGCAAGCATTTGTAAATATTGATCTCGCTCCTTCAACGAATCAAAGTAAATGTTTAGCATTAAATTTATTTAAATTATGTAAATTTAGTGACGTGACGATACCTTAGTTGGTGCATCCCATATATCAACAATTTCACCTTCCAGTGTTTGAAAGTAGTTGTCGATCAAATATAAATTTTGCTTACATAGTAGTAAAAGACCCTCTATCAGGAAAAAAAATATTAGACATAAACCTATAGATATTAAAAATTTGCAATTTGCATACCACATGCGTCTAATCCAGTTATACGACTTATATTAAATATATCCAAGACAGAATCCCCGTGCTCTAAAGATCTTAAAACCTTTCTATTTTTGTCTTCTTCAAACGCATTTTCTTCGTCAACTTCCGCTTGTGATTCTGTATACTGACCTAATTTGTTGAGAAATCATATTTGAATATATTAAAATGATTATTGACATGAAAATGAATATCAGTATGTACTATTTCCAACAGATTCGACGTCATCATTTGATGTTTCAACGTCGCTTGCACTAGGAGTGAGTGTCATTTGGCGCTCGTGTGATTTTCCTAAATGGAGTCGATATATTGATCAGTGTGGGTGTGTCGGATAATATGTTAAATTTACTCTCCATACCTCCTAAGTGACGAAAAGGTACATCCAAGTCTATCAAGTTATTAAGTTATATATTAGTTAAAGAATTGAAATATCGATCATATTTATTTGTACGAGTGATAGGTACTTACTTGTCTGTGATTTATTGTTCATTACGTAAGACTTTGATGA